TGGTATCCACGGGAATTCCAATAGATTGCAGGAAGACCTGGTCTACAAAATCAACATAGATATTGTCAATCAGAAACTCAAGCATCTTTTTGATGTCAACTTCAGAGTACGTGTGTGTAATCATAATGCTTTAACAGAATAATTTTGCAAATGACCAAATGAATGACAAGATAAGTAAATTTTCAAGTTTCATTTTTATTGAGAAAAAAAACAGCTCTAAATGTTATTGGAAAACCTGGACTATAATTTATCGTGGGGAATGGTTGTATTTTCTATTAAGTGCATAAAAGATTTGATTTACAATTCCTTTTTCCGTGAAGAAGATAAAAACTATAATGTTTGTAAATAGATATCTGATCAATCACTTAAAAAAAATAGACAATATAAGAAAAAACAGCCCTCGGTGTTTGCAGAAGTAAAGTGTTCAGTGTAATTTAAATATTTAACAATGGATTGCTTGTTGTCAAGAACTCAAGCGAATATTTAATGCTTTTATCGTCCCTTTAATTTAACAGAAAATGCAGAAAACCTGCGCGATCGATAAATTCCCATTCCGCACGGAAGCCCAACAGTGCAAACCAAAAATAAATAAAGAAAAACGAAATCATAAATAAAGAAAACGATTTATACGATATACTCGTATATAAGAAAACGAAATAATTATATATAAAAAACGAAATTATTATATAAAGAAAACAAAATTATTATATAAAGAAAACAAAAGTATTATATAAAGAAAACAAAAGTATTCTATTAAGAAAGAAAAACAAAATCATCATACAAGGAAAACGAAATTATTAAATAAAGAAGAACGGGTTTTTTTAAATAAAGAAAACGAAAATATTAGCTAAAGAAAACTTTACTGAAAATAAAATGTGGAATTTATATATGTGCATGGTAAGGTACTGAACCCATGAATCAGTTCATAAAGCGCATGTGTAATAAAGCATCAAAGAATAACTCTATAGACTTGATTAAATTTAATATTAAAACACAAGTGGGGGAAATGATGGACAAATGTCATATTGACAATCGTTGAAAAAACAATGTGAAGCTACACCCTAAAATTCTTACTTTTGAAGTAAATGATTCATAACTGTTCAATTTTGTTTAAGGGAATTTGTTGCTGTGTCGCATCCCCACAACAACAATGTTGCAGCCTGTAAGCCTGGACGTAGCGAGGATGACTGTTACTGCTTTTAAATAAAATAAATGACATTCCAATGAATCGTTAGACGATCAAGACATTGCGTATCGTATTACTGAATCCCCCCTTCGGCCCTCCAACTAAATCTAGCATCCTATTTGTGTACACATAAATCTACGGCTGTTGATCAATAAATAGAACTTAGAGGGATTTGTTATGCAGTGTGTGCATTGTTTGTACACAAATATCACTGACTTATAAATAGTTCGAGAATTTGTCATTTTGAATATGTGAAAACAAAGAGTTAGTGCTTCCCTTCTAATTATACTTTGATAAGATGACCTAGAAATCAGAAGTGTTTTTAAACTTAATTTTCAATAAAGTAAGCAATCATTATTAATACTGAGTGTAACCATTTTGACTTGTTTAACTTTTGCACTCTCTTTAAACATTTTTGATCAATTCAAACAAATTAACCCACAAATCCAGCCCTTACCATGCATATCAATAATTCCATATTGTACGAGGGGTGATCAAAAAGTTCGCGAACTAATTGAATAACTTCCATAAAAGAAACAATATTTGGTTTCAGTGTTGATTATATTTAAAATTAGTCCTCTCCAATTTTGATGCACATCTTCCACCGTGATATAGGCGGTCACGTGATTCTCTCGGTAGCGTTCTGTCACAAAAGCTGAAAGAGTTTTCTGAGTTTTATATTTCTTTCTATGTAAGTTAATTTTTAAAACAAAAACAGTTCATTTGTTAGAAATGATCAAATCTCGGCAACAGAATGGGTGGATAAGAGTTTCCTTATCAAAAATAAGCATGGCGACCATCAAAACCCAAATCTTCTCTCTTGGAAGAGACATTTATTCAAGGTGGATAGTGAATGGGTACCTCTTTTTTATCATATCTATTATGTTTAAAATCTAAAGTTAACGATAGCTTAGGTATTTAATAAGTATATTATTGTTGAAATATTCAAGTATTTTTCAAAGTGTAAATTGGAGGTCTTTGATAGCAAATTGCTTAATTAAAAACACATCTCTTTTCAAACTTGCTTTCACTTGGTAACAAAACAATTATCATTTTTAACCATCTGCATTTCTTCACTAACACGACCAATCCAATCATTTATTGAATTTATAAGAAGACATTTATCTTAATAAACTGTGTACAAATTATTATACTCTACTTCAAAGGGATTTTTAAGATATACCATAAATTCTAAAGTCGTTTGTTAACGAGTACGAGTGAGACAACCATTTTTCGTCACAAGTAACTACATCATTTTCACATTGTGACGTCACAATCAAGGATCAAAACTTTATTCAGCATATTCTATTTATACACCCTGTGTATGGCTATGTGTGTACAAAATTTTTATATAATATGAAATGTGGTTTTGTAGATATAGAGATAAATGGCGAACTTTTTGATCACCCCTCGTAGTTTCAATTTCGTTTTCTTTAAACATGTATAATTATTTCGTTTTCTTTCTTTAAAAAAATCGTTTTCTATGTTTAATAATTAATTTCGTTTGCATTATTGGGCTTCCGTAATTCCGGGATATGTTAATCAACTTACGGAAGTAAACAATTCATTCTAGTACTTGTCCCATGGAATACAATATTTTTCCGAAAACGTAGATTACTTTTGTGCTTGTAAGATAGAATACAACATATTACTTTTGTAAATGAGATGATGTTTCAAACAATAACGTCTTGAAGAGAGACTATGATTAACAATATGAATACCAACGAGGGACCAAATTGTGAAATTGTTGTCCAAAATTTATCAAGTAAGAATAATGTCTTTTTGTATTTTTCTGTGTTTTTTCTCTATTGAGCAATCAACATTACGTGACCACTTTTACATTTATTCAAATTAATTTGCCGATCCATTGTTTAAAAATAGTTGATTTCTTAACGTTCACAAAGCTTTCAGAGGGTTCTAATTTCAGTAAGGTTCTGCATTATGTACATAAATAAACATAAATGACTTACGACGGATCTATGCATTACATTAAATTTACAATCAATCACAATACTGACGACGGTCTCATTAATAATATATACACACATATGCTATATAATAAATTGACTGAGTTCCATAATAAAGGGAAAACAAGTAAGTAAAGTAAACTTTAAAAATAATACTGAATAAATAATCTTCGATAAAGAGTGTCTACCTATGTTGCAGTGAAAACGATCATGGAATAGAATTTTAAATTTAGGTACGTAAAATTCATTAATCGTTAAATGTCGAAAATTTACGTGATGTCTACCGTTTATAAAAGAAATGATCATGCATCTTCTTGCCATTTATTTATAATATAATTATTAAATTAAGTTTTTTCAAAAAATATATTAAACAATAAAAACAACTTGATTCCTTATTTGGGGATACTGGTCTTTTCCAAACCAGGTTATGTATAGTTACATAATGAAGAATGGAAAGATGACGCACAGCGATCAGTCTAATTAAAAAAATAACATCATGAAGAATTAATAATCATTACATGATTAAGAACAAAGGCGTAATTATTGGTTTGAAACAAGTCGAACAAAATACGATCCTTTGATAGGTCATATTTGCTAATAATGTCATTATATAATGACTATAGAATTTACGAAACGCTATCCTTAAACAAGGCTTTTTAATCCCTGTAACATTGATCCTTCATCAATTCACAACAATGACCATTCTAAGAGAAAAGTATAATGTAACCACTAAGCTGGTAGACATAAACACCATACGCATTTGTTTGATGAATTGTTTTTGTATGTATGTCAAATATAAAACATATTTGCCCTTCCACAGATATTATTGTTCTTTTTACAGATAAAATAAAAAAGAAAGGAAAAGATCAACAGAAGCTGTATACACTCTCCATCATTACAATTATGGTGTCCGTTGTTACGATCGTGGTCTCCTTCCCAAATGTTCTGGTGGGAACTCTGATTATGACATTTAGAGGGAATGTAAAACTTCCTCACTCACCCACCGGTACAATATGGTCTGGAGCACTGGTATTTTTTATTTACATTTTCTGATGCTTTATACCGGGTATTTGTTTATCAAAGGTCGGGTCATACGATTTTCAATTACATATATATATAGATTTTGATAACATTTTGTGATTGAAGTTTTTAATATTCTACCTGAATGTAATAAATAAAAGGAAAATTATTTATTATCACATTTTTTTATTCTTTTTATTACTGTATAGGCACATAGGATTAATTTCATATAAATCTTGATTTATATTCGGTAAATGCAAAATTAGCATTTTAGATACGATATCCTTGTCTTCTCAGTCCATGAAAATAGATGTACATTTTTATTGTATATAGGAAATTATGTTGAAATAGTTTCCTATACAGAGAAATTTTCACATATAGTTCAATATCGTGTTCGATAATGGTAATCTTTTATTTTAAATATGGTTTCATGCCATTTTGATATGGTTCAATGTTATTTAAATTTTGTTATGGTTTAATATCATATTTCTTACATTATTCCCGATGGGTACATTTTCATCTATGATTTTCAGGTACTCGTATGTGGCATACAATGCCTTTTGCTGTCCTGGATGGGCATTGGTTACATTGAAATGTCTTCCCCTTTTTCTTTAAGTCAGGTAAGTCACACTTTAATGGAGTTTAATGTGATGTGTGATGTCATGCATCTGCTATAAAATCATCCTTTATGTTTTACAGGGTTATACCGTAATTAAAAAGTGTTAAAATAATTATGAATAAAGTGTTTTCATAAATATTGAATATTTTATGCATATAAAATATTTCAGAGTTTTCTAAGGATCATATTTTAGCACATTCCATCCTTGCCTTTGGATATTCTTTCTCCCAATCAACAAATACATCAACAACCTTTACATGGCAAATACAAATATTAGATTTTCCACAAAGAATACTGCACTCCTGTCTCTCTCACGCACCC